ATATATATATATATATATATACATTTACTTCTGTGCCGCCACTTTGCAATTATTCACTCGGAAAGAAAAAAAATAGACAAAATTGTCAGCAATTGTACCAACAAGGATACCCCAACCTGGACAATCGGTTGAACATTTACTCCCCCACATCCAAACTTTATCTAGCCTATTCATTTCAGAACACACTTGAAAGACTGAAACTTTCTTCCGAACTGCAATTAATCCAACCTTTAGATATGTCAACTCCTCTAGAAGGGCAGCCTCAAGAGTCCGGAAAGCTGCTAACTTCTCCTCCAACCGCCCTATCCATGCGTCACGGAGAAGATCTCCCTCTTAATGAGGCGAAGTCAAAGTCAACACAGACAGCCACGGAACATCAGTCTCTCCCACCTAATTCATTGACTCGCTGAGGAACGCCCCCCCCATAGCGCAAGGGATCTTCAGCAGATTCAGAACGCTGCCAATCCCAGAAACTCCTTGCTCAGCAGGAGGCGGGGTCATGGTGCCTTCACCAGAGCACTGATGCATCATTCGGTTCACAAAGAAAGTGGTGACGGAGCACATTCCTCCTCAAATCTCTTTTCTCGTTGATGATGGTTGAAAGGCGGGCTGGGAGGCACTCACCACTGAGGGATCAAGAGCAACTCCCTGCTCATATGACGTCCGGGCATCTTAAGTTAGAAGGTCAAAAGTCGGGTCTTGACCTTGCCCCTCCAACTCTGGTCCTTCATTTGTCGCTCTCCGCCACCAGAGAACCTTCCACGGAACTACCGTTATTCGAGTCAGAAGATCTTACCACTACCACAAGGGCAGAAAACCTCACCTCTGATGCTGCACATTTTTGAGGTCGTTCGACTTTGTGAGTCCGATGAAGGATATTCACGTAGGGACAACATATCTGAGGGTGCGTTTGGACAGCTTATTGAGGTGCGGTGGCGTTTTGAAAACGCCGCTCACTCGTTTGAAAATCACGTTCGTATGGGACGTTTTGAAAAAGCGTCGGTGACCCCGCGTCCCGCGTCTAGATCTCACGTTCGGTTTATAATTACTCTCGTGTCCTCTGCTCTCCCTCAATCT